GGTTTTGTCTCTGTCTAGTTCTTACGGCGATAAATATACATTTCGCATTTAATCACTGTGAGCTTTTTTCTGCAGTCATTGCCCTTACATACCGGATGTATGGTGCGAGTGTAAAATTTAATTTATATTGAAACGCGCCTATATTGCTTTTCATTGAAATTCTATGGTGACGTCATTTTGTTCAAAACAGTTATTTCAAATGCGTTCTATACAAATATTGGACATGCATGACTAAAACGTATTTTAAAACAATCTATAAGCGTAAATAGAAGATAAAAATAGAATCAAGCTTCATAGATACAATATTTCCATTGCTAAAATAGCCAAATACACGAGTTTACGTTTTGGGCATTGACGTATAGTTTTGGGTTATTTATGTTAATGTCATCATGTAGTAAATGTTTGTCATAAACATATTACCTACCTAAATATCTAATACACATTGAGTAAACTACGGATGGCCATTCCTCAGAGCAATTAATTATTCTTTCATAATACTGAAGAATAAAATGAACAGGTTCAATGTGTACGCTATCCTTTATCTATGTATATGGAACCTTTCAGTATGTCTTTTCTTTCAGTAACTCTTTAAAATTGAAGGAATATTATTATCTTCTTCCGGGCCACTTATCTTGCATAATACCAATAGTACAAAAAAAATTGCTATCACCCAAGTGAAAGCGACCAAACCCGCGGTGTTACATCAATAGTTTAATTTCACTATAGTAATGTCCCCACTGCTGGGATACAGACCTTCCCTTTCACGAACCATCTACTGTTTCTAAGTGAGTAGAGGGGTTGGATCTGAGGTTAGGGGATGATTGTAGTATACGCTTAATTGCGTTTTTGGCGAGCAACTAATTAGCAACTAAATATCCCACGTCTTTTTTCCACCTACGAGAATTTTCCGATATCGTCCTATTCTGGGGTGGTTGCAGGGATGATCTGGAATTAAGGGTTGATAATTAATTTTTTTAAACAACGCTATTTTGCAGCAACTAATTAGCAACAAAGTACGCCGTAGTTTATATTCTCTGATGAGCTCTTTTTAATTTTATCGTATTTCGGCGGTAGTGTGGGTGCTGGTGCGGCAATTAGGATGATGGGGGGGACAATACAAATAATGTTGTCCTACAGCAACTAATTAGCAACTAAATATGCCGTTTGTAGAACTTCGATATCTTTACGAGAACCGAAGATATAGTAATGTGGTCTGCTAGGTTAAGACTTAATCTAGCAGATCGCTTGTATCGTTTACAGGTATTGAGCAACGAAATCGGGAATAGTGTAACTAATTAGCAACTAAATACCCAGTAGGTTAGAGGTGCGCGTTGCGACCATGGTCTGCTAGCTACTACAGATGCAGCCGGGACCAACGGCTTATCGTGCCTTTCGAAGCACGGCGGAGCTCGAGATAGTAATTTTTGGTCACCCATCCAATGACCGACCACTGTGAAAGTTGCCTAACTTCAACGATCGCAGCCAAACGCGCTAACCACTTGCGCCATCGGTATTAACTATAGTCAAATTTAACTATAGATGAAACTACGCGGCATAGCCATAGTATTTCTAAAAAATCCTAAATTCTTTATTAGAGAACAGTTGAGCATTTCTTTATTACTTGCTTGCTTGTCACCTGCCACTTTACCAGACTACGGAAGAATTAGATTAAAAGTACCTATCCTGCTTATATAAATAAAACAGTGAGTGAATTTCTTTTAAATATAGCTTCTGTTTGCCTGTGAAATTGGCTCTTTGTAAAACTTGTACTTATTGCAGTTTATAGTTCTTTTATTTACTTACTAGTTTTCTTAAAGACGGGCTTAGGCATGACGGTGTTTCTATATAACGTGTTTTACTTTTGAATTTTCTTTCCATCAATATTTCTTTAAGAAAATTTCGAACGCTAAATAGCGGTTGTGACGTAGAAATCCTTATAAACAAACAAGCGCCATGTTCACAGGATATGTCAAAGTCAACGAGACCTTAGTGCGAATATGTGCGCGCGCGCACCTAACCTCTAATCAACTGTCGACTTGTTTGTTTTGTTGATATGAAGTATGACGTCACACCAAGTATTCCAAAATAGCGAGCGTTTAAAATGCGCGTCTAATGTCACTATTTAATTTTTTTAGCCTTTTAAAAATTTTTCAACGTTGATTATTTTTATAATATATCAAGGGAATGTTAACGTGTTAATAAAAATATTTAAAAAATCATGCATATTCCTTATTACGGAAAAAAATAATACACAAAAAATCCATATCCAAAATAGTGCTTAATGCTATTTATATGCATAGGTTAGTTATTACATGGAACTTGTACCTAAAACAGTTGAAGATATGTGTCTTGTTTTAAGTAAAAGTGACGAGTTTCAAAGGAAAAATGTATAAATTGTACTTACGCTCGTATTTGTAGTTGTAATTACTTGAGCAACATTTTCTGTTATAGTTAAGAAATTAATCAAAGTAAGAAAAAAAAACTTCCTTTAGATTTAAACATCTAGCAGTTAAATGCATAAAAAATATAATAAACTGCATTTTGGTTCTTTCTCTTTCAAATATAAATAAATAAATAAATATTTTCAACACTCACACCAATTAGCCTAGCCCCAAAGTAAGCACTGTAAGGCTTGTGTTATGGGATACTAGGGTAACGGATAGAAAAATGTTGTTACAACGTCAATACAATTATTCAATATAGAAAACCTGTTGGAATGATTGGAACAGTTCAAACCCAAGCATTTTTGTCTGTAATATAATCAGACACTTTGTAATAAGCTTTTTTAATAATTGCTTTTTTATACTATCTTTGAATTTATTTATGGTTAACTACTATCTCATGGTTATCTCTTACATAGTAAGGTGTCATTAATATAAATTAAAAATAAGAAACGACCTAGGATTGAGCCCTGCAGAACACCCATCTTAACCGGCGAACCCGGAGACTTATTACCATTAATGTCATCCCTCTGAATCCTATCCCTCACGTATGATTCAATAAGATCCAGATCGGTATCTCTAAATCCATAGTGGTGGAGTTTGCTGAGTGATGTTTCATGAAAAACGCAATCAAAAGCCTTGGACAAGTCGCAAAACACACCTAGAGCGTCCTGCGAGTTCTCCCAGGCGTCAAAAATTTGTTGTATAAGTTCAACACCGGCATCGGTTGTTGAATGACCCCGTGTAAAACCAATTTGTTTACAGTGAAGTATATTATATTTATTAAAATGTGATTGCATTTGATCTAACATGATTTTTTCGAAAATTTTACTAAAGGTGGGTTGTACAGAAATTGGCCTAAAGTTTGTGGGGTCTGATGTACTTTCCGTTTTATCCACCCGGATAGTGGAGACCGCGGGTTCGAGTTCCGTCTGCTGTCATGAATGCGTGGATTATTTTCTCGTAAAAATTTCTTAATGTTTATTATCTAGCAGTTAAACGCTTAAAATATAAAAATATAATTAAGTAAGAACTCACCATTTTCTTTGCTAGGTAGGTAACCTAAATTACTCAGATTCTAAAAATTTTCTATTATTTTGACATTTATTTTTATTCCTTTTGTGCTTTCATCATTTTAATCTGACATTATGGCACAGGTTTTTTTTTTATTTTTATATATTTACTAGCTGACCTAGCGAACTTCGTACCGAACATAAAATTTAGGGTTGTATGTATTTTTAACACCACATTAAAAAAAATGTCCAAAAAACATTTAGGGGTGTGTAACGTAGTGTTCTATCAATTTCCTGGGATAACATTCCTCCTAACCCATATGAGAACACTACGTTACAATACCCTTTAGCTTTTGCTGTCACTTAAAATTACAACTTTATTGTATCCTTTTTTCATAGTATATGATAAAGCCTCTGAAATAGACAATAACTCAGCAACCATAATAGATACCATTGAATTTATTTGAAAACATTCATTATATTTATCTATTGGATCATAAAAAGCTGCTCCTAGGCCATGGCCGTCTTTTGAGCCATCGGTATAAATTTTAAAGAATTCGTTGTACTTATTGTTTAATTCTGCAGTGACTTCGTGTTTTAAAAGATTTATTTCATAAGATTTTTTTTCTTTGCAACACTATCTAAATTATCAAATATAACCACCAACCATTATCATTTAAGGATATGAAAAATAGATAGTAGCCGACTCTCAGACCCACGGAATATGCATATAAAATTGCAAAAAAAAAACGATCAGGCCGTTTCGGAGAAGTATGGTAACTAACATTGTGACACGGGAATTTTATATATAAGATTTATTTTAATTTTAGACAATATTTTGCTACGGCCCATTGGAAGTAAAGTTGAGCATTTGCAAAATATATTACTGGTTTAAAAACGTTTTTCTATTGGAGAATTCTAGTCTCAAGTAATGACATAATTAAGAAGCAACTTGTCTATAAATTCGAATGTTAAAATTGCATAGAGGATTTATCACAAACAAAAACCTTGATTATACTTACATTTCTGTGATTACTGGAATCCTTTCCTTGCAACGAAGTCCTGAAGAGTGTGAAGAAGAAAAGATCTCCCGGCTTTTTATAGTCCATCAACTTGGCTTGCACCAACGAACCATGTCTGAGCTACGGGGATGCCATTCAAGATAATGGCTTTAACTTAATTCTCATAATTAGTTTTGAGTGTGTTTCTGAATTGCGTATGCTGTGCGCTAGAATATATTTTTATGAAATTTACATGGCAACATGTAAGAAAATTTAGCACTTGCGAAAATTAGTAGATACTGTGTGAAATATCTAACAAAAAAACGAGTGTGCTTATGACCACACGACTGAAGTCAAACTTATTTAGCTATCTGAGTATATATATATGTGTGTGTGTACAATATATAAATGTATGTACATATACATATTTCATTTACTAGATATAAGAGAAAGAGAATGAAAATGTGCGTGCGTACTGCTTTCTCTTCCCCATCCCCCACTCAACTCCCGTTCATCTTGTGTGTTCGTCACTTTTCGTAACGCGTAACGCATTCGCCAGCTTACCCAAAAAGTCAAGCGTGCGTAAAGAAGTTTCACTTTGAAAATATCTACCTACTTTAGATGAAGTGGTATGATCCTGAGATAATGTGAACACAAATTAAAATCTGAATATATCAATGAAAACCACGGCAAAGTTACTAATGATTTGACACTTAAAACTTAAGAATTTGAATGACATAAAATATAGTTAGCGCACATCTAAACTTTCATCAAAATATGTTTTTGTGTACAAACGGTTTTAAAATATATAATATTATATAGGTGTACCCATAGGTATGCCTAATTAATTTATGCCTACCTATATAGGCATAAATTAAGAAGAAATTCTAATAAAAAAATATCTAAAACCAAAAACTCACTTCAGCCAAATTACGAAATATAATTTATAAAAATCTTGCGAACATCTTAAAAAAAAATTTTAAAAACACTGCTTCTTGAATTTGGAATGTCAATTTTCAACGTTCGGCAGTTCGTCGACCATGTTAGCCAAAATGAGGTTCTTATCGGTGCCTTGCGGCCTCTTTGGTTCCAGAGCAACCCTCATTTCCAGTGCCCGGGTGTCAGTTTCCAGTGATTGCTCTTTGTCGTTCAGGTCTATGCCTATCTTGATAGCGGCAGCTTCCAGAGCATTGTACGTGGCCCTGAAAATTAAACAGGTTTATAGAGTTAATTTACCCAGTACGTTAAAAGGATTTAGCATTTTTTCCGAAAGGTTCAAGCCTGAATGGAATCTCTACAAAATCTGTTAAACTTTAGTACAATATTGTCCAATACTAGGTACTAAAAGAGACATCATCCAACGTTAAATAAATAAATTACAGTTATGTATTTTTGAATTGAAAATTTCTTTAGGCACGCTTGATTTGGGAGATAAACTGGCGAATGTGTTACGATTTCGCTTTACAATTAGTGTCATCGGGACTCATCGGTAAACAATAAACAATACCCGTTACAAATTACATGAATCTAGTGCTTGGTGGGTGATAACGGACCCAGCGCGGATTGGTGGGTGATAACGGATCTTGTGCGGATTGGTGGGTGATAACGGATCTTGTGCGGATTGGTGGGTGATAACGGACCCAGTGCGGATTGGTGGGTGATAACGGATCCAGTGCGGATTGGTGGGTGATAACGGACCCAGCGCGGATTGGTGGTTGTTTTTCTATCAACAAATCTTTATGTTAAGTTTATAATTTTCAGATCATTGGAGCTAAACAAGTTTCACGTCGTCGTATGGTCATTAGCACACTCGTTTTTTTAAAATTAACTAAGCACCTATTGTAGGATATAGATATTTATTGTACAATTAAACATAAACAATATTAGTGTTGCAGCTGATTTTATAGTCATACAGAGAACGGGAGCTGATTTGATTACAGTGGTGTATCGTACGATCCACCCCACTTTGGCGCTTATAAATACAGTTGTCGTGGGGTGGCGGTCAGTCGTGTTACCGATCTTCAAGAGTCGACAAGTTGTAACTTGCTGGGAATGTACAAGTGCAGTGCAAGAATAAACTGTTAATATTAAGACGTGCTTTAATAAAAGACTCCTCACCGATCACTGCCGAATTTTTAGCAACTAGTATGTATTTTAAAAAGAACAATGTCACGCTTGCTTGGTTGGAATTCTGTTGTTCGGTAACAATAACGATAGTTTGCCTTGGTAGTCTATCGTCCACGATATAGTGTCAGAACACCTAACAAACTACCTACGTGTAAACTACACTCCGTTACTAAACGTTAGTTACGTAGTAAAGTTTAGTAACGGAAAGTTTAGTCCGCATGGCTTTTTTCTAGTAAAACTTTTCTTTAGATTTGGGCATCTAGCAGTTAAATGCTTAAAAAAATAAAAACATTTACTACGTTTGTTACAAATCTTTTCTTAGTGTAAATAGCACATACAATTATTTCTAAAGCAATTCTTGTTTTCAATTGGTCATTTGCACACATGAGTGCAGTAAGTAATTTTGTTGCTTTAGTTCCAAATCCATCAACAAACCACTGAATTGACTCCGCTCACACTTAATACCAGGTTTAGCACCTGGTATTATGTGTAAGTGGAGTCAAGTTGCGAAAATACCTGATCCGGCAGAAATGTTTCGGCTACTCAAAACAAACCCCGTGAAGTCCTAGAACTTTATCCGCTAACAGAAACACAACATCAGCCAAAGACAGCGTTATTTTACTGTGGTCTTCTGTATCCTTAGCACGCACTAATATCGAATTCGAATATAGATACACATATATTATATATATATATATATATTATATATTTGTATATACACAGTCAGGTCATAAGTATTGTCACACAGTAAAAACTGTTCTTTTAGAATGCTGGCCACAAAAAAGTTTATTGAATTCGAATTTCGAATTGTTCATGAAAATAAAAATGTATACTTTTTAGAATTTTACTCAGTTTTAAATATGGAGTGGACGCTTAAAGAAGACCGTGTTGCAGTTATTGCGTTGCATCGTTGCGGTTACGCGCCAATTAAAATTTTTGACATACTGAAAATTTTGAATATAACCAAAAGATTCGTTTATCGTACCATCAAACGATACAATGAAGACTCTAGTGTAGATGACAGGTCAAGTCAAGAAGTGGTTGCCCTCGGTCTGTTAGAACTCCAGCAGTGATAAAAGCTGTGAAGGCGCGAATTCAAAAAAATCCCAAACGTAAGCAGGAACTGCTGGCCCTTCAGATGGGGTTAAGCAGAACCACGGTGAAAAGGGTGTTAAATGAAGACTTAGGGCTTCGGGCATATCGAAGAAAAACAGGACAGCGTTTGAATGCTCGTCTAATGGACCTGAGACTGAAGAGATGCCGCGCTTTGTTGAAGCGGTACGCGGGAAAAAAATATCGGGAAATTCTGTTTTCGGATGAAAAATTTTTTACCGTAGAAGAGAGCTACAACAAACAAAATGATAAGGTGTACGCACACAGTAGTGAAGAAGCGAGCAACCGTATTCCGTGTGTCCAACGAGGTCATTTTCCATCCACGCTTATGGTATGGTTGAGAGTTTCTTATTGGGGCTTAACAAAGGTACATTTATGTGAGAAAGGTGTAAAAACGAATGCAGTTGTGTATCAAAATACAGTCCTGACGAACCTTGTGGAACCTGTTTCTCATACCATGTTCAATAACAGGCACTGGGTATTCCAACAAGATTCGGCGCCAGCTCATAGAGCGAAGAGCACACAAGAGTGAAAATCGACTGTGAAATAGACTTCATCCGGCACGAAGACTGGCCCTCCTTCAGTCCAGATTTGAGCCCGTTAGATTACAAGATATGGCAACACTTGGAGGAAAAGGCGTGCTCAAAGCCTCATCCCAATTTTGAGTCACTCAAGACATCCTTGATCAAGGCAGCCGCCGATATTGACATGGACCTCGTTCGTGCTGCGATAGACGACTGGCCGCGCAGATTGAAGGCCTGTATTCAAAATCACGGAGGTCATTTTGAATAAACTTTAGTGTCATAAGAATCTATGTTTTGTTAAGTTCATTTTGGTTTATAAATGGTTACATAATGAATAAACTTGTTTCAGTTATTTTATATTAAACGTGTGACAGAATTTATGACCAGACTAGGTATATACATGTATGTACATATACATATTTCGTTTACTAGCTATAAGAGAAAGAGAGAAAGAAAATGTGCCCGCGCACTGCTTTCTCTTGCTTATATCCCCACTCAACTCCCGTTCGCCTAGCCTGAACATACTTTTCTTAACGCGTAACGCATTCGCCAGTTTACCCCTCAAGTCAAGCGTGCGTAAAGAAGTTTTACTTCAAAAACAGATCAAGATGAAACCCGTTTTGAAAGGAAGAAATACGGGGGTGAACTTTTCATGGTGAAAGGTAAAGCAAAGGGTAGGTGTCCATTTGAATAAAAAACTAAATAAAAATTTATCGCCTTAATATTGTGATTCATTGAAAGGCGGTATCAAACTCTCTACCAATTATCTGAGAATTAAAATAAAGACTAAATTTGCCGTAAGATTTTAACAACTTTACATTTGATGACAGCGGCGTATAATTGTTCGAATAATCAAGCTTCTTAGTTTCGTGAACACAAAGGGCGTCCTTACAAAGTATCTTTGTTTGCATACGAAATTAAGATAATCTGCCACCGGTGGGGAACGGTTTTGCTATCGCTATTGTTTTCATAAAGAAATTAATATCTGTAATGAGGTTTTTACAAATGGTGCTTTTGTAAATTTTATTGTAATAGAGGTGAATTAAATTGCGATAATAATGGGAATATAAGTGTTATTAAAATACGATATTTTCTTGCTCATTATATAAAAGCTCCTGCATACTTCCATTTTATTATTTTTATCTATTTAATGATTCCAGCAAAAGTCCTTTATGACTATTTAAAACCTTATATTATAAAGTTCTCGTGTCACAATGTTAGTTACCATACTCCTCCGAAACGGCTTGACTGATTTTTATGAAATTTTATATGCATATTCCATGGGTCTGAGAATCGGCTACTATCTATTTTTCATATCCTTAAGTGATAAAGGCTGTCCACCTATAACGTAGTGTTCTGAAACCTACAATTTGCCTTCGCGCCAAAATTCTAACTTTTGGGTATTGTAACGTAGTGTTCTCATATGGGTGAGGAGGAATGTTCGTTGAGGATTTTTTTTTATTATGTGGTATTAAAAATACATACAACCCTTAATTTTCACTCTTCTACCACCGGCCCCTATTTTTATGGCGGTACCAAGTTCGCTGGGTCAGCTAGTATTCTTATAGAACCTTTTTATCAGTCTGTTGAGTTTTCATCCTATACTGCTAACTGATTTGTAAACTGCCACACCAACTAACCTCACCATACCTGCCTGCAGTAATGCTTCTTCACGCCTCTTAGAGGACCTTAGATTTTAAGAAGGAGAGAACACGTGCGCGGGCAAAGAATTCCATTTGCGAACGTAAAAAAAAGCGGCCAAGTACGAGTCGGACTCGCCCATGAGGGGTTCCGTAGCAGCTAGTAACATAATACATATAAGTTCTTGTAGTTCGTTGTATCTTTGATCGATGTTTTAATAATAGTGTATTTTATTTTAAAGGTAAAGTGTGGTTTACGATTTAAGACGTATAATAACGTTTTAATCCGTGCAGTGACGGAGAAAGAATACAACTCACCGCCCCTTCTCTTCCCGTGGGTGTCGTAAGAGGCGACTAAGGGATATCGGAGCTTCCATCCGCTCTGCTGGTGGTAGGGTGCCTAACACCCGCCTGGTTTGTTACCACCGTGCGCATGGTGAAAAACCCGTGAAGTGCTTCTCGCGCGTTTCGGGGTCAGCCAGCGTACAACCAGGGCTCGAGTGGAGGTTGTCGCGACGGATTCGGTCCAGGGCTAGGCATCCGTGGAACCGATGCCGGCAGGACTGCATCGACCCGCCGGCCAGGGAGACCCGTAGAAACGGCTGTCCCGCTGGCCGCCCGTGGCACAGTACAGGGGCCCGAGCGTTCCTAACCAGTTCGCGAGGCTGCCCCATCATGTCACGCATAATCTCGGGGTGGACCGTCGTGCCGGTTGGTGACCGGGGCGTGGGGTCCCGGCGGCCACTTCCGGGGGGGTGCGGGGGCCCTTCCGTCCGGCGGGTCGGCGTATATCCTCTGCAGGCAATCATTCGGGGAAACATGCCTCCCTAATTTGCCCGGTCTTGTCGCGACAACGTCCACTCGTTTCACGTCTCTTTTTCATTTCCATAATGGCAGCTCCTAAAACAAAGTTTGGACGTTCAGCGGTGCACACCCCCACGCCTTCAACGCTGTTTGAGGTCGAGTTCTGCAACATACGCGGGCTCCACTCTAACCTCAACGCTGTCCACCACCATCTTGAGACAGCACGGCCAGCATTGTTGTTCCTGACGGAGACACAAATACTTCCGCCTGCTGACACAGGCTACCTTAATTATCCCGGCTACGTGCTTGAAGAGTCCTTCAAAGCGAAAGCCGGTGTATGCCTGTATGTTCGGGCGGATGTTTGCTGTCGCCGTCTCCGCTGCTTGGAAGATCCCTCCTTCTCCATGCTGGGGGTACACGTCGACTCTGGCCCCCTGGCCAGAGTTTACGTGTGTCTCTACAGATCCCACACCGGCGATGTTGAGACAACTCGACTTTTTGAACACCTTAGTCGGGCAGCAGATGACGCGCAGGAACAATTTCCCAATGCAGAATTGGTGTTTTTGGGGGACTTTAATGCTCACCACAATTTGTGGTTAAGTTCCTCCAAAACTGACCATGCAGGGATCTCTGCTCACGCATTCGCTCTCACGCATGACTTGAAGCAACTGGTTGATCAGCCCACCAGGATCCCAGATATTCCAAGTCAAGCGCCTTCTTTACTGGACCTTCTGCTCACGACCCATCCACAGGGCTATCAGGTTGTGGTAAGAGCCCCCCTGGGCTCGTCAGACCACTGCCTGATATCTGCCAAAGCACCACAGGCCAAGCCTCCGCGTCCAGCAGTGGTCAAGCGCCGTATCTGGCATTATGGGTCGGCAGATTGGGACGGTATGCGTGACTACTTTGCGTCCGTCCCTTGGAAGCAGCGCTGCTTCAGTGACAGGGACCTATCAGCCAGTGCCGTTGCCATTACTGAGGAGATTATAATGGGTATGGAATACTATATTCCTCATTCTGATCTCATCAGTAAGGGCACGCGTAACCTCTGGTTCAATCACGACTGTGCTGAAGCTGCTTCGCGTAAGCAAGCGGCATATCGTGCTTGGATCAGAGGGCGCGCTGTCAAGGATCCCGAGGTCGATTTACTCAAAGCAGCCTACAATTTTGCTTCCAAGGCCTGTAAGAAGGCTTACATTAGAGAGTTGCACGTGTTGGCCAGGAACTTATGACGCATCCTACGGGCTCCCGTAGCTACTGGCGTCTGGCCAAGGCCGTGCAAAAAAACTTCTGCGAGCCCTCGCTGCCACCTCTGAGATGCCCAGACGGAACACTAGCCCATAAGCCGCAGGAGAAAGCCGATTTACTGGCAAAACTCTTTGCGGCTAACTCCCGAATCGATGATTGCAATGCACTGCCACCATCATTACCTCACTGTGGCACAACGATGCCTGATATTAAAATCAGGCAGCGCGAGGTTCGTGCCGAATTGCAATCACTCGACGTCCGGAAAGCTAGTGGACCTGATGGCATCCCAGCAGTAGTACTCAAAAAATGTGCAGCGGAGTTGTCTCCAGTGCTCACGCGCTTGTACCAATGCTCGTATTCTTATGGGCGTGTGCCGGAGACTTGGAGAGATGCCAATGTGCAACCGGTGCCCAAAAAAGGGGATCGCTCAGACCCGGCAAACTACCGGCCAATAGCAGTCACCTCAGTTTTATGTAAAGTTTTAGAAAAGGTCCTTAATAACCATCTGACCCGCTACCTAGAGGATCACTCCTTGATTAATGATCGTCAATATGGTTTTAGACCGAAACGATCGACGGGTGATCTTCTAGCGTACTTAACTCATATCTGGGGTGAGGCTATCGACAAGCGTGGCGAGTCGTTGGCTATCAGCCTTGACATTGCCAAGGCGTTTGACAGGGTCTGGCACAAAAGCCTTCTCTCCAAGCTTCCGGCATACGGTCTGCCAGCCCAGTTCTGTTCTTGGGTAGCTGACTTCCTGCATGAGCGTAGAATTCGTGTCCTTACGGATGGTAGCAGTTCGCGGTTCATGTCAGTGAATGCCGGCGTTCCCCAGGGCTCCGTTCTATCCCCCACTCTCTTTCTGCTGCATATCAATGACTTAATTCCTCATGGGAATATTCATTGCTATGCAGACGATAGTACAGTGCATGCGGGGTATCTCGGACAAGCAGCGGCTGGGCTGGCGGTAACCAAGGAGAAACGCGAGAATCTTCTCATTGAACTCAATCAGGCTTTGGACCACATTTCCGAATGGGGTACCAGGAACTTGGTTGAGTTCAATGCCAAAAAAACTCAGGCTTGCGCTTTCACGGCAAAAACATCGTCATTCCTTCCCCTTCCATCTCTTCAGGGCACAACACTACCGCTGCAGAGCAACATTTCCATGCTCGGTATGGAAGTTCGCTCAGACCTGAATCCAAAGAACTACATCGAAACCGTAATCAAAACAGCTTCACGCAAACTCGGAGTCCTGAACAAGGTGCGGCGTTTTTTCACGCCCGATCAACTGTGCTTGTTGTACAAAACGCAAGTGCGGTCCTGCGTGGAATATTGCTCGCACCTCTGGGATGGCTCCGCCAAGTACTTGCTCGATGCTTTGGATAGGTTACAGCGACGCGCGATCCGCATCATAGGCGATGAGGAGGTGACTAAACACCTTGAGCCTCTTCAATTACGCCGTGACGTGGCGTCACTAAGCGCGTTCTATCGTCTGTACCACGGCGAGTGTTCTGAGGAGTTATTCTCTCTTATCCCACCTTCTCCTTTCCTTCAGAGGACCTCGCGTGCTGGCCTACGTTGTCATCGTCTAACTGTGGCCACAATTCCAACGCGTACAAAGAAATTTGGTGACTCATTTCTTTGTCGCACTATCCGTAAATGGAATGCTCTGCCCGCTCACGTGTTCCCTCCCTCTTACAACCTGGGATCCTTTAAAAGAGGCGTGAAGAAGCAACATGCAGGCCGGCAGGGTGAAGATGGCTGGTGTGGCAGGTAAAACTGCTGTATCAGCTATCGTCACGTCTGGACTTCACCTTCACTTAACATCAGGTGGGGTGGAGTCATTTGTCGGACCTATCTATTAAAAAAAAAAAAAAAAACTACTCACTAGATCTCGTTCAAACCAATTTTTGGTGGAAGTTTGCATGGTAATGTACATCATATATATTTTTTAAGTTTTATCATTCTCTTATTTGAGAAGTTACAGGGGAGGGGGGGGCACATTTTACCACTTTGGTAGTGTCCCAAAAATGATATTAGAAACCTCCATATCAATTTTGAAGAACTATCCGTAGATGAAATTTTTCCAGATTTGTTTGAAAATCTTAATGCGATACGCAGAATGCATCTACTTACCAAGTTTCAACAGTATAGTTCTTATAGTTTCGGAAAAAAGTGGCTGTGACATACGGACGGACAGACAGATAGACATACAAGATGTTCCGTTCCGTTTTTTTGCGATTTGGCTACGGATCTCTAAAAATTAACAACAAATTATACGCAATAAATAAAGACATGGGTACTTATCCTCTATTTGAATAATAATAATAATAGTGAAACATACAGTGAAAAAAAACAAGTAAGCTACGCATAGTGACAGACCCGTCATAAAAAGGGAAAAAGAAGAAAGGATCAATTAAACGTACACAAAAAAGGTTTCGAAAAATGGGCCCGAGCCCTTTATATAAAATGTAGATTTGTAAGTGAAAAAATGCGTATTTTTTATTCATAATTAGGATGAAATGAAATCGGACAAAGCTCTTATTAAAATTAAAACCTCCGCGCCTAAGAACTCGTTCAAAAGTGTCCTAAAATTAAGTGATAGTTCAAATTGAAAAGTATCACTTCGTCAGTAAGTTTTAAAACTATTTAACTATCTGTATGATTAGGGTGTTTATAAATGAGTTGGTACCTGAACCATGAAGAATTCCACAACTTACCTGACTATGTTATCAAAGGATAGGAATACCAATGTGATCCAAATAGATACAGAATGGAGTATGGATTTAAGTACTGACTACATTTGGTCGTTAGCCCGTATTCGGGTGCACGAAAGACATTACTCGATTTCGAATCTAATTTCTAAATTTGGAATTGTTTATTTTTAACTAAGCAATTGGAATATTGATACAAGTTTAACTAACTTAGCGCAGTTCAGTTTATCTTGCATCTGCCTTATAGTTTCCCTCAGGTTGCGGACTTGCTAACGACCAAATGTCAGTACTTAAGTACTGACTACATTTGGTCGTTAGCCCGTATTCGGGTGCATGAAAGACATTACTCGATTCCGAATCTAATTTCTAAATTTGGAATTGTTGATTTTTAACTAAGAAATTGGAATATTGATTTAAGTTTAACTTACTTAGCGCAGTTCAGTTTATCTTGCATCTGCCTTATAGTTTCCCGCAGGTTGCGGACTTCCTCCTTCAGACCGATGTCTGCTTCATCGGCGGCCAGTTCGATTCCTGGGCGGTACCCGCGTGTCTCCAGACGGGTCTCGGCTACCTTCAGACCGTTCACTTTGTCGGCAAACTGTTCTCCGAGCGTCTTGAGCTCCGTGTTAAGTTTATCCATGTTTTCTTCCATCTATAAACATTACATAAGTATTTAGTTGCTAGGGCCCTCCTCAAGGTGGACTGACAATCTAGTGATAGACGCGGAAGCGAGATTCTTGGGGGATGCCTATGCTCAGCGGTGGGCGAAATGCGGCTGATATGATGATGAAATATTATATACAGGACCTACCGCCCCAGCATGTGCACCGTGATATGATATGATAAATCTTTTTATCGACACTTAACTGTTAAACTTCAGTGTAATTTGACAGTAAATATTGATAAACAGGGGGGCCTTATCTTGAATTCGTAATAGGTAATTATTACGAAGGCATTGTTAGTATTTTCTTTGATTTTGTATAATTTACTTCTACAATCCTTACAGCAAACAATCACCCAATAGCAACATAGCCCCGGACGCACACATTGCGAAATAAACAAAAGAGACATTAATAAGGCAACTGTTTTCTGGATTTACAACTTTAGAATTATGATAATTTCATATACATCCAAAACCCCGTTTAGGTGATCAGATTCATTTAATCATACATTCAATGTTAAGCAATTCTGGACTTTGTTTTTTTACGCAAAGCTCAAGCTACTTTGTGCTCGGTAATCTACGCCACTTTCAGTTAGTCTGGTCTAGTAGTGTACGTAAACGATTTGTTATAATGTCGACATTGTTCTGACACTTTGTAAGAGGCTACGTTGAAGTTTGACGTCCCATACATCACACTTTACCAGATTAAAAAGCCGACTCTTGGATATATGTTATGTTCCATAATAATCTTAAAATGTTATAAATAACTTTTACTGCTTTAGAAATGTTTACAGTATTTAAAATTGTTATATGATATCTAGTAGAGAAAGTTAGAGTACAGTGATTTTTCCCCCCAAATCGAAGCATTATCCTGGAATAGAGCAAAATTTTTAAGGTGTTATTTGGTGCATTATGAAAAGTGCAACCAAAAACTTTTTCGAAATGTGCTTCTATTTCTGGGGTTTGTAAAGTCATCAGAGCTTTATATGCCAAAGGCAACATGGGGTTAAGCGATGCGAGAGTTATAATCCAGTACTTAATGTCAAAAGCATCTATAGCCTTATCCGAGTCCGCTCTTTGTATAAGCGAATTTACATTATTACAATTATTTACAATTTCAGAAGTGCAGACAAAAACCTGTGATTATATTACACATTTGGATTACTTGCTCTCGTTTTCCCTCACAATATGATACTAATTGCTTTCTTGCTTTATAAAATAAGTCATAGGTTATAAGATGTTGTAATTTCTAAGGCGTATTATGAGGTAATTTGAAATAGATGCTGCTTCAGTTATCAGTCACCGCACTTAGCGTACGAACATAAAGGCAGAGTTTCAAGTGCGACTCGTTTTGGTGTTATTTGTCATTTTACTGTATTAAGGTACCTGAATAAAAGTCTTGTTAACCTTCATTTTCTGCCACTGGAGCTCGTTCCTGGCCCGCTGCGTCTCATAGATCCTCCTGCGCAACATGTAGTTGGTGACGTCAGTCTGCGCACCCTGAGCGTTGCGGGCCCTACCCCTCGCCAGGGACAGCGATTCCCGCAGGATATTTTAGTTCTTCGATAGCCATTTGTAGTATCTCTCGTATTGCTGTTACTTAGCATGATAAATAAAAGTCGAATGTACCTTCATTTTTTGCCACTGGAGCTCGTTCCTGGCCCGCTGCGTATCATAGATCCTCCTGCGCAACATGTAGTTGGTGACGTCAGTCTGCGCACGCAGTGCGTTGCGGGTCCTACCCCTCGCCAGGGACAGCGATTCCCGCAGGATTTTTTAGTTCTTCGATAGCCATTTGTAGTATGTCGCATATTGGTGTTATTTAGCATGATAAATAAAAGTCGAATGTACCTTCATTTTCTGCCACTGGAGCTCGTTCCTGGCCCGCTGCGTATCATAGATCCTCCTGCGCAACATGTAGTTGGTGACGTCGGTCTGCGCACGCAGCGCGTTGCGGGCTCTACCCCTCGCCACGAATAGCGATTCCCGCAGGCGCAGTGTATCTTGTAGTTCTTCGATGGCCATCTGTTTCGTCGCTTCGCATTTGTTTAGCCATTGTTCGTAGGTTATCATCCTAAAAATATTGCTCACCGATTAATGAAAGTGATAATTGGATTTAGGGGCATTAATGCATGTCATGGAAAAGGTCTTTAAAGAACCTTATAACAATAGCAAAACCTTTTCAAAGTATAAGAAGGGGTTTTTGGCCAGCAAGAACAGAGCCCTTTAAGCACTCTGGAAGCAAAAGAGTAAATAATACAAACAAAGTTAAAAATATATGTATATCTGTGTCTTGTGGCGTTCTGTTCTTTCTACTCTACCCCGTCCGGGTTGGCAACAGTATGAATTTGTTTATATGGCTGGGAGAGTGAGCGTATTAACGTAACCTCGCTAAAAAAAATCTTATTCAAGCATTGCGACAATCGCGACGAATATTGGCGTTATTCAAATGTAAGATTGATTTAAGAACTGCGTAATATGCCAAGATTTTTCCTGGCCTGGGGGCTAACGCGCGTGTCGTAAACAAACCTCCATAGTGTCCGAAAATAACTGACGACCGGACGTAGACACGTTTCAAAACCGTGCCTAGACCCGGGTAGAAATCGTCTCGAAATCTCAGGCGAGTCATATGCTTATGTGCATCAATTTTTACGTAAAATGAAATGTATATAAACAAAGCACTCGCAGTCTACATTTTATTATACTTTTACGGCTAAGGAAATGACTCCACCTGATTTTATGTATAAGCGAAATCTATAAGGAGGAGAGAAAAGATAGCGGCAAAGATAACACGCCGCACGATGCTCACGGGAAATGGAATTGCAAGCGAACAAAGGAACGACGAAGCCTACTAGCCCGTATGCTGGAAATTTGGCAAAGGCTTGGCTGGTTTTAATACAAGTAAGAGTCTATATAAATTGCGTTGCAGTCGGATTTCTAATACTCTAAAGATTTTTACATTGATACTAGCTGACTCAGCGAACATCGTACCGCCATATAAATAGGGGCAGGTGGTAAAAGAGAAAATTTAGGGTTCTATGTATTTTTTAATATCACATTATAAAATAAAAAAAATGTTCTATCAATTTCCTGGGATAACATTCCTCCTAACTCATATGAGAACGTAGTGTACGTTACAATACCCAATAGTTTGAATTTAGGCGCGAAGGCGCATTGTAGGTTTCAGAATACTACGTTACAGGTGTACAACCATTATCACTTAAGGATATGAAAAATAGATAGTAGCCGATTCTCAGACCCAAGGAATATGCATATAAAATTTCATAAAAATCGATCAGGCTGTTACGGAGAAGTATGGTAACTAACATTGTGACACGAGAATTTTATATATAAAATTTGAATCATCTATACTAATATTATAGAGCTGAAGAGTTTGTTTGGTTGAACAAACGATATTTAATACATATCGTCGGGTTGAACGCATGAATCTCACGACCTACTGTCTGATTTGTTCTTTTTTTTCATTTTTCCATAAACATTTTGCAAAATCGGGGAAAATACATCCATTTGTGAGCTTCCGTTGCGTGCGTTGCATACACCGTAAAAGTTATATAAAATCATGTATGACAGAATTGTTCCCCTTTAAAAGTTATATAAAAAGAGCGCGACAGCGTATGTCTGTCTTTTAAGGGTAACTAATATAAGACCAGATACAAAATAACATCATAACAATTAATGGCAAGGGTTACTATTAATTGTAAATGCCGAAGTATAAAGTTGATGAGTATCTAAATGATCGTAATGCATGGACATAGTGTTTCTTGTATTTTGTTATTTGATGGGTATTAAATAGTAATTTTTCCTAATTTTTCATAATAGTAATATGGTACCTATCTGATACCACTTCCTATATACTTAATATGAAGGCAACTATAAAATTTATTGTAACTATATATCTATATGCTAAATGATGTAATGGAAGGTGACTTCAGAAGTATCTCCGAAGTCATTTTTCAGCTTGACGACTCTGTATATAACAATACAGGGAGAAAAAACAGCCCTTGCTGAGATTCTTGCCAGTTCTTCTCAGTACAAGGTCTCCCGCCGTAGTTTTGCGAACCGATGGCGTAGGTTCTTGACCTTCACAAGTGCTTGTAACAGCCTAGACTGAAAAAATGATTTTTGATTGATTGATTGACTTTTCTACAGTTCCATTCACGCCTAAGCCACTCAAACAATCTTGATGAATGAATTTAGTAAAGAGATAGGTATATAGTAATATAAATATTTGAACACTCCTAAGTCCGGTGATAGCGAAAGTTGCTTTAATTCTACTCGTGCAGATGCTTGACCACTGCGCTATCGAGCTCATCATACATATATGTTTATTTAACAACTCATATAACACACACATCATACATATATGTTTATTACTTAGCAATAAGATATGTTTATTATGTTGAAAGGGTGGCAAACAAGCGTATGGCACATCTGATGGTTAGCGGCCCCTATTGTCTATAGTTGAGCTAGATATTGATTGATTGATATGTTGATATAGAGAGAATTTTTACTATTATTGTCATTCAATACCCTTTTACTTGATCATAATGTTACTTTGTGGCTTTGTGAGAAAAAAACATTCATTCTTCATTCATTCATTCGTTCACACATTCATTCATTCATTTATTCGTTCATACATTCATTCATGGACGATTGCGATATCAAAACTATTATTTACACCGTGCCTACCCAGACCCAACCTCCAATCCCATGGAGCCCTGGAACCCCCCGTTGACCGAGAGCACCATTGATATTAATTCTACTACTGCACCATGCTTTCCTCGTTATAGGTAAAATAAATAATGAAACAATAGAAGGCCGTGTTTAGTTTGTGTATAGAATCACTTCATGTTATATAAAAATTCTTTAAATACATTTTATTGACGACCTCCGTGGCCGAGTGGTTTGCACGCCGGGTTTCATGGTATCGACTCGAGGGGTCCCAGTGGGGGCAGATGTTTGTGTGATGAATACGAGCATTTGTACTCCAGTCATGGATGTTAAATATGTATTTCTATATAGATATATTTATGTACGTATTCTATCCGTTACCCTAGTATCCCCATAACACAAGTCTTATAGTGCTTACTTTGGAGCTATGCTAATTGGTGTGAGTGTTGGAAATATTTATATTTATCAAGAAAAAATCCGAATATTTATGAATATCGAAAAAAGCTATCTTTTGTGACGGTACTGTATTTTATTATTTATAATGCTACGTAAGTACGTACCTCCATGAAGATAATCGTTCCGGAACAAATACCTTATAATATAATACCCATCACACAATTAAAATCTTCCTCGACTTTGGGCAATAAATAAAAGTTAAATTATTAATTCCGCTCATTGTATTTATTGCCGAAGGGACAAAAACTGACACAATTAAAACAAAGTATTGCCTTGTCGAAATTTAAATAATATTAAAATGTGCAAAGAGGAAATAATTTGATGAAATACTAGGTATTCTAGTGGGTGCTAGCGACTTCGTCAACGTAAACTTTCTGTTAGAATCCCACAGGAACCTAAAATCTTTCCAGGATAAAGAGTATCCTATGTCTCAATCATAGTCATAAACTATATGCATACCAAAGGGGATATAACCGATCTGGCCTATCGACTCGCAGCGTACTTTGAAAGTCGTATGTCGACACCCCGTTAACCCCATTTAGGGGGTAGTTTAGGAAAACTAATAATGATGAACTTAATAATTTATTTACATAGACAAGTATTCGATTTCATTTCCAAGTTTCAAGTCTATTAACTCAAGGAATAAGAATTTTTATACAAAATTTAATCCCCTATTTTAAATCATTTACTTTCTTAGTGCAAAATAAAATTGAATTTAAAATATCTATATAATAAATTGTATAATAAGATATTATTAAGGACCTCACAACGAGTACAATTAAATCCACTTTTTTATGTAATTTGTTTAAATCAAATATTCTTTTTTTTATTCACAACAATTGTATATGTAAATAATTTATTAAGGACATAAAAAGGGCTTATTATTATTATATAATATACTTTCTTAGTGCACCTCATAAGGAAACTACTAGCCAAATTTGAAGTCTCTAAACCAAGCGGCTTGGGCTGTTTGTTGATTGTCAGTCAGTCAATCAGTTTCTTGTTTTATATATTTAGATAAGTCATGTGGATTGTGTATAATACCGACTCCAATTTAATTCAATATCCCTGTGATATGTACTGTTATCGTCTTTTATATGTTTACTAGCTGACTCAGCGAACTTCGTACCGCCATAAGAATAGTGGTAGAAGGGTGAAAATTTAGGGTTCTATGTATTTTTAATGAAGAACCATAAATGAAAAAATAAAAAATAATTTAAACATCGAGCAGTTACTTGCTTAAAAAACTAAAATTATAATAAATTTTTGGCCAAAAAATTAACGTTAGGGGTGGCTAACCCTTATCACTTAGGCATATGAAAAATAGACAGCAGCCAATTCACAGACCTACTGAATCTGCATATAAAATTTAATAAAAATCGGTCAAGCCGTTCCGGAGTACTATGGTAACTAACACTGTGACATAAGAATTTTATGTATAAGAAGATTATTTCGTTTGCACTACTCAATGGTGCAGATGATACTATCTATAATGCAGTTTCGTTCGCACCATTAAAGCCGGGTACTCATTAGCGAGCTGTTACCGTAACATGCGCGATACAGTACGAGGTTCTAGTGTGTAATCTTGTAGCTCAATGGTAAAACAACGGCACGCTGCAAACTGCACGCGTACCGCTCGCAGCAGTTTAGCGAACCACGTACACACTATGCTTTTTGGTTACAGTGCATGCAACGGTTACGGTTACAGCTCGCTAATGAGTTCCCGGTTTAATGGTGCAAACGAAACCAATCAGTTTCATTTGCATCATTAATGGTGCAAGACAATGCTGCATTCGGTACAACGGGCTGGAAACTTACTCAGCGACTGAAACACAAACACTTTACGGTGGAGGTTACTTTCCCAGACGGGCGCTCTCATTCGAGCGGGAAATCCGCTATCCCCTACTTCTTTATAACGGCACGGCCACGGCAATGGCCGTGGCTTTACTTCTAGTAAAAGTTATTCAATGGATTTTTCTTCAATGGATTGATCATGTGTTTTTCTTTAAAACGTATGGTACAATTTTTATAGGAGTGTGGTATGCCAGCGGGCAATTAAAATTTTAATCAAGCGTCAGCTTATCAGGCAGGTATAAGTAATTTACGGCGGGATGAGAGGAAAACCACACGCAGTGCTATACGATTACTTTGGAAGGCAGGAGTTATATTAAATTTCCCCTTATCTTATGTCTGTATAGTATACCTTTTTGTTGGAAAAGCTGAGGGTACGGCGCCCTTTTCATTGCTCAATTGCTTTCTCATTTCTCATCTCATATTATGTTCATTCAGTAATGAAACTTAATTGGAGCTATACGTGTTTAAAGAACGATTAGGGCAATAATCTGTTTTTAAATGTGTGTAACTAAATAATCAACAGCTGGAGCTCTAACTAGAAACTAAAGAACACATACATTTTTTTTAACTAAATTATAAATAGGGACTTTAAAATATTTGCTATCCGGGAAATGTAGGTACTAATTTGTATATTTGTTCTCTCTTATAGGCATAAGGGATGTGGGCCTTGTCTAAATTCTAAAATAAAACTATTTACGGTCTTCTTACAAAAATGTTGGATACGGTTTAAAACTTTGTTTAGGCAAATTTTGTATGACAATTTTTCTTAAACTCGTGTTGAACCCTTGTTTATTTATTTTTATATATTTAAAATTCACCTTATTACCACTGCCTTATTACCTTATTACTTTGTTTATACATGTATTACCTATTATCTGTAATTTGAACATTCAGATATTAAAATGGTCCATGTATATTTTGTATTTTTTGGGGTAAGCGATCTATGCTCATGTCATTTAAAAGGATAAGTATGTATAAAAATTGCGTTTTAACTACTCAGTATTTTAGTAAACAAAAATATATTAAAGTTTGATTTGAAAATTTTCATCGAGCGAATTAACTTCTAAATGATTAACCCTTCCGAAGTACAAATGTGCCATTTAGTATAACAACTCAAGTTACTCTCTCACTTTGTATAATTCGTCCGCAATTTGATTGTGGTGCCGGGTGCACAAAATGCGTGAATAATTTTGTGAACAAAGGTGATGTTTCTTCTCGAACTTTACTAAGAAAGTTACACTCTACTTATTTATTAATAATGTGATAGCAAATTGAATTAACTTGGATTACATTTAAAGCAATTATATGTCACTCTCATTTAATTATTTATATAGGAAATGTATACAGCTAATAAAAAGGTAGATATGAGCTCCACCCGGCACCGAATAACTCCGAATTTTGTATGTCATTCAATCAAAAAGTTGTGTTACGCTGACATTTTATGAAAACTCAGCTGAAAATCTTGTTTGTCGTGTCTTTTCTCGTATCGTATATATTAAAGGATGAAGGAAGGAAGCATATTTTTATATTTTTCCTCGATGGATAAGTTTTAACTTCAGGAGTTTCTAACTGGAGCTAGAAAGCAGTATCACCATGCTCGGTATGGAAATGCGCTGTGACTTAAATCCAAAGAATTACATCGAAAGCGTGGTAGAAACAGCCTCACGCAAACTCGGGAGTCCTGAACAAGGTGTGGCGCTTTTCCACGCCCGAGTAACTGTGTTTGTTGTATAAGCCGCAGATGCGGTCCTGCGTGGAATATTGTTCTCTCATCTGGGATGGCTCCGCCAAATACTTTCTCGATGCTTTGGATAGGTTACAGCGGCGCACGATCCGCATCATAGGCGATGAGGAAGTGACTAAACACCTCGAGCCGCTTCAATTACGCCGTGACGTAGCGTCACTATCAGGGCCGTCTTTAGCCTATTGGAGGCCCTGGGCTTAATAGGATATTGGGGCCCCTATGACTTTGATGTGGATTATGACTTGAAATGGAGCGAGGTATACTGATGAGTGTACTACTGATGATTTTTCTTTAAAATGTGTATGTGCTTAGTATGTGTATATTTAAATTTATCTAAGCATGCTGAAGTCGGAAAGCCTAATTTTTGGGCGAGATTAGAATAGCTTCGCTTATGTAATAGCTAGTAAGTTGGTATTGTAGTCAGTAATTTAGGTTCGATTTCATCGAATCATATAATTTTTTTGGTAATAAATATTGGTTATCGTTTGGTGATCTGACAGGAACTAGGGACTTTGTATTTGATCTGAGGGGGGCCCCTATCGATCTATCGTCTGTACCACGGCGAGTGTTCTGAGAAGTTTTTCTCTCTTATTCCACCTTCCTGTTTCCTTCAGAGGGATCACGCGCGCTGTCCTTCGGTGTCACCGTCTAACTGCGGCCACAATTCCAATGCGTACAAATAAATTTGGTGACTCATTTCTTTGTCGCACTATCCGTAAATGAATTGCTCTGCCTGCTCACGTGTTTCCTACTTCTTACAACCTAGGATCCTTTAAAAGAGGCGTGAAGATACAACATGCAGGCCGGCAAGGGGAGGATTGCTGGTGTGGCAGGTAGAACTGCTGAACCAGCTATCTTCCCGTATAGACTTCACCGTTACTTAACACCAGGTGAGGTGGAATCATTTGTCGGACCATGAGATGAATTCTCATTTAAAAAAAATGAGAATTCCTATCCGTTCCCTCCCGAGAGGTCTTAAATTTTACTTATTGGCTACCTCTTTGGGTTTTTCAGCGAATCGGTCTTGTAAGTTATATTCGCGCACTCCTTGTCTAGGTTCAGCATGTCTTTATCAATCTGCAGTGCTTCATTTTTGTCGTTCAGGTCAAGTTGAAGTTTGAATTTGACGACCTCCAGCTTGTTGATCTTCTCCCAAGCCCACTGACAACGGTCAATCAACATCTTCTTGTTGCTTTCGGTAACACAGAGTTCCTTGAAGAAATAGGTTGTGGTTACAAATATGATAACATCAAACATGATTTGATCAACTAATCGTTAAGACTATAAACTAAAATAATAGTGTGGTTTTATGAAACCAGGATTCAAGTGAAATTTTTAAATTGTTTAACATCTACTCAAAGTTATAAGAGATATACTGAGTTAACGATACTCTGGCTTAACAAAAAGTGAAAAGAGTAAGTGTGCACACCTGACAAGTGAAACTTCTTTTCTTAAATATCTTAGGGGAAGGGCATAGGGAAATGGAGCAGCGCACTTATCAATAATATATTTGTATATATAGGTATATATTGTCGCTTGTGACGCTTGTGACGCTCGTAGCGTTTCAGCCTTCGCCTAGTTGCCCTCCAACTTTCATGCTCGTTGGGAAGAGCTGCGCATACATCCCACACACACACACACACACACAAATATCATATCCGTTTCATCTTTTCCATAGGATTTTTCCATTTACACCCCGTCCGAAAAGAAGTTTCACTTCAAAAATTAACTGTTTCTTCGGCTGGAAATCGAAAACTGGCTGAGCTTTCTACAACTGATCCACTGATGCCTATTGAAAGTCTGATTTATTTAATAAAGATCAAAAAAAATGTGGTCGTATAAAAAAGTTATACCCCAATTTCACAGGAAGTTCATGAAAATAAGTATAGAACATTACTGTGATTGAGAAATAAAAATCCGCCTTTGAGTAACGAAGTGTAAAAGAGGACCTATGTTGCACGTCTGTAGTGTCTTCGTCTTCGGTGACTAAATAGGCAGAGTTGTAGTAGCAGTAATTGTGGCTATAGGGACAAGATTATTAAAAAGGATTATAGGTATTATCAGCAAGCAGTAACAGCTTTAAGCTGCGGTATGTTAATCCTTTATAAACGAATTTAAGTTGGAGAACTCTATCTAATAGAGGTAAACTAACTCCATTATTATTAGGTCTTAGTTAATTAACCCTCATATTTAAACTAGTGGGTGATCGCGACTTCAGCTGCGTGGAAATATTTGTTTCACATTTGAACCCCTGTTGCACCCCTTTACGGGGTGAGTTTTGGGAAATTCTTTCTTGGCGCACGCCTACATCATAATAGCTATATGTGTGCCAAATTACAGTGCAATCCGTTCAATGATTTGAGCTGTGCATTCATAGATCGGTCAGTCTGTAATGGTTGCCTTATATATACTCGTATGTCGTGGACTGGTTAACGGAACGTCAAGCCGGTATCGACTTGGGTATATTCGGCGAATGGGTTGGCAACACTGGTTACTAATCAATGTCATCTAATCTTTGACATCTGTTACTGTGGTATAAAAACAAGTAAAACGTTATGTCATAATAAAAGAAGAAGAAGAAGAGTGAAACGTCAGTCTTCGGTCTGCATCATCTCCCTCTCAGGGGATGATCGCTTCAGATGAAGCTTGTAAAGCCCTTCCGGCCATAAGAATGGATTGTGTTTTATTTATTAGGAGTAGAGTACCCATGAGGATTTCACACCCGCTCCCCTGCATGAGAGGAAACAAAAAAAAACAGTCTTCGGGACATTTGTGATCTAGACGACGAGCATTTCGGTCGTGTTCAAACCCCTTATTGATTTCACCACATTCCGACTTAATCCGTTTGCATCTGAGCAATCATAGTACTATCTACTACCAACTCCCCGATCTACCCCTCACCCTCCAGGTGTAACTGCGGGATCCAGTTATGAGTCGCCGCTTATATATATCAATAGACCTAAAGATACCTTTTTCAATTCAGTATCAGCAAGATCGTACGTCAATTCGGAACTTCTTCTTCCGTCTCTATTAGAAAGGCACTCTGAGCAGACAAGGAGGGGTAGGTTCAGCTGTTCCAATTCTCTCTCAGTGGACGCCTTTTCCTCCTTCAAGCCCTGCATCTCTCGATCCAATCGCTCCAACAACTCTTGCAGTGTCGATTTCCATTGCTCGATTTCGTACACTCTGTAATAAAAAATATAATATAGGTACATTGAGCACAAGTATGCAACGCATTATAACGTCTAGACTTAACGTACTGTTATAACCCAACTTAGTAACCACAAAACGCTAATTTGCATATTCACCATCCACTGTAAATTTTCAGAGAATTATAAAGTGCAGGATTTGCATCACATTGCCCTCACATTTATTCATTCATCATTTACCTCAGTTAGACTTCGGCCATCAGATGGAGCTGTGTTCACAATTAGCTCACGGTTTCGTTGTCTAGTTCGCGTGTGATTTCTGTGACTTAATTTCAATTAAATAAGTAACCGGGAGTTTTGGTTTCATTTTTTAAAGACAGACGGACAGATATCGCTGACCTCCCAACAGTACGCAACATTGCGTATCATATATTTCTAACACATTTGTATTCATTAAAATTCGATAGTCCCATAATGCGTTGCATCTACACCTTAGGGCTCCCACACAAAACTGCGATGCGATGCGACGTCGCATGCAAATTGCTGTGATGCGTATTTATGCGGCAAGGCTTTGGTTAGGATGACCATACCTTGGAGGAGTTTAAGTAATAGTGACATGGAAAGAGATTGTTGCACTGTTGTTATATAGAAGAAAATGATGATTTTAGGTTCATCCATTTCACGCTGATAGGAACTATTTTACTCGAAAATACAATGATTTCAGAATAGAAAAAGATATGTTTTTTGACGTGACAACGTCTTAAATTAGGTTGCGGCTGGGAGTCACTTATGAAAAAGTGTAACGCTCGGTAACGTTACGATGAGTTTAAGTTTACATGTACAATGTTTTAGTAAACAAAATATATTTCTATAGTTAAAATTTGTGCAATTCTTATTTTCATTCAATTCCTTGTTCCTATTGTGCAATTTAATTATATTCATATCAATAAATATTCTACCGAGAAAAAGACGTTGTCACGTAAAATCTTCGCCCGTAAAACCGACTTTACAGGCAACCATTTTTTTTTTTTATTATTTTAGAATGAGCATCTTCATTTGAAGAAATTTTGAGTTTATTACCAACATATCTACAAAAACGATCGTAAAAGGGAAGGCTCAGAGCGGACTAAAATGGTGTCACTAAGTGTGACGTAATATCTCAGAAATGTGCGATGCGAATCGGGGCTAAAATTCGAGTAGAAATTCCACTGATCGGAAGCATTCGTGCGAGCTTGCAGATATTTGCGAATGCAATGCGAATTCGCAGATATGTGTGGGAGCTCCAGCGTTGCTAGATTATTTAAGTCGGGATTTAGAAACTTTTTGAGTGAAAAAAGCAGTATTTTTTCGTCGAAAGCGGGACATAGTAAAAAACCGTATATAATAAAAAGTTTTTGAATGGGTATATATTTTTTTATTTGAGTTCAAATTACGTTTACGTGACAATAGATAGGTACCTAGTAAAAATAAACATAGAAAATATATTTAAATAAAAATATGATATTTTAAATCAGATTTACCCTATCGTTAAATGGTTGAGTCTTTGTTTGAGAGTTCTTCATTACGCGCCGGGCAGGTGGCCAGTCCACACTTGTCTTCATCTCTTGTGTCATTTAATTCAGATTTAAAAATCGGGACGTCTGGCAACGCTGGGGAGCACTTATATCGCTAATAAGGTGTGTACCTATAGTGTAATTTAATGTTACATATTAGAGCACTGAGCAGAAGAGCCGCTTTCTTTGTTCTGTGAGGTGTTTAAATTACCACAAAACTAATCAACAGCAAATCGCGTGTTACTTAGTTATAAAAGTACGACAAAAACGTAACTTCATTAAAATAATTAAAGTATGTAGTAGTAGGTCTGTCCAACCGTAACTCTCAGATTTCTGTAACGATGACAGTTTTGAAATTTCAACAATGCTTTCTCTATGAATACAAGTTTTGCATTTTTTATTAAATATAACGAGACTCAATAAAGATCTCGGCATACGTGACGGGTTTATATCCAAGTCCGGCCTGGACGTGACTGTACGAGTCACGTCCAGGAATTGAAAAACGTGTGTACCATTATAAACGTAAATGGGGTCTTAAAACAAACGCATACAGTGGAGGTTATAAACAATAACCGTGCCTGACCACACTCCAGTTGGATTCTGGAAACTTTTGATATTACCGATGAAGAATTAGCAATACTCTATCAGACATAGACCACAACAATGTTGTTTAAGTGCCGTCCCGAAACACTACACTTTTATATAAAACGCTGTCAAGATATCGTCCCGTTTTATCCAGCAAGTGAACAAGTCAGGTATGCTGAGACCTTAATATCAACAGGTACAGCAGAGTTAGTTAGCTGCTAGGGGAGGCATTTGTAATATTTCACGAACCAATTTTTGTATTTCTTTTTAATTCACATTCATCTAGTAATAATTTAACTCTTTAAAGGGTTCCGTGGTCCTGACAAGGAATCCTTATGGTTTTGTCATGTCCGTCTGTCCCCGGTTTTGCTTGGAGAGTGATAGCATTAGAGAGCTGTAATTTTGTGGAGATATGCGTATCAATCATGCTGACAAAATTGAAGAATACATTTATCAGAAATCAGAATCAAAAATATTTATTTTAGGGTTGCTCCGCTACATGTAACCTGGAGGTGATTTTAATTTTTCATAGTCTAACCTCATCAATATCGTTTAATAGGTCCTTCAAAATTACTTAGGGATCCGTTTGGGAAATATTGATCTTTAAAATGTTAATTTTTGTGCCTGTTAGGTGGTTGTGGTGGGAGTCCTTTAAAAGCTAAACTATTGGCTTGAAAAACCTAGAAAAAATCATGAAGATAGTGCTTTTCATGAACTTTTACGAAAAATAACTGTGAAAATTGATTTGTTAGTTAAGATTAATAGTTTTTCAACTTATGTATTACAAAATTTCTGATCTAATAAAACTTCCTTGGAAGAAAACATTAAAAGTGACTTAGATAAAATAATTGCTTAAAATATAGACTCTTTCCAAAATATATTGTGGTGACGACGACCAACTGCGGAACTGAACCCCCGTGGCACGACACGCACTTGGCCGTTTATTTTGTTGCAGTCACAGCAACGCGTGGCAGAGTAAAGCTGGTATTACTTAATGCCAACGGAAATGTTTTGTATCATTTTCCTCATTGCCAAGGGCACCCGCTTACCCTACAGATAAAATTACCGTCGGTAGAACGGGCCATTAACCGCATCTCGGGAAAATTCCTAGATTGGTGTGTGTTAGCTGCTAATAGAGCCAACACTGGCATTGTCCGGTTAGTGTGTTGCCTACTGACAGTAAAGGGAGCTCAAGAGATGACTTTATCGCAGTATAACTCTGTTGTCTTTTGCTTTCTCCACCGAATGAATTTGAATACTAAAATACTTAATAGTAAAAATAGTAAAATATATGTTTTCTATAATGTCAAAGTATTCGTATACTTTGGTCTCATTGTGTACATATAATAAAATGGTAGGAAAGTCAAAACTGCACATTGAATATTTTTTTAGAAGAAAACAAAATTGATGCACAAAAGTTTCGAAAGCTCTTGTAACTATAATATCGAGCATAAATATTTACATGTAGAGTTGTGCAACTATTTCAAAATTGTAATTCGAATTAAATTATTTAAGTAATTCTTGTTTTAGGTAAGTAAAGGGAGACAAATATTTAAGTAACTTTTAACTTTCGAACCTTGCTCGAAGTCTGTTGTTGTTGTGGTAGCTATCCCAGTCGGTCTTAATTTTAGTTTCATTCCGCATTTGGTTGGAGCTGTAGCGGAGGTCGAAGGCGTCTGCTCTTCTTGTATCCGATGTAACCTATTAAGAAAACAATCAAGTTACCGAAACTTCTTCCGAAGAGAAGAGGAGGATGCTTTTTGAGAAAAGCCTCCTCCTGTTCCTTTCTCCTTAAGTTGCTTTACCCAAGAGGGCCCATAAATGTACTTTTATTAACTTATAATAACATCTTTGTAAACATTATGGCTGCAAAAAATATTGAGTTCAATAGTGATGAATTTAAACGTGGATTATTTAATGCAATGTTACTGATTTGAGTATATGGCTTGCGTGGACCGTAGGAGTTACAAAGATTTCCTTGAATAAAAAGCTTAAGCAATTTACCGCAATAACGTCAGTTCGTCGTTATCTATTTTTACTGGGATAACTGGATCATTTTGTGTCTATATAACATGAATGCGTAAATCTACTGTACCTAATATCATAAAGAAAACTATTTTGAACGAATCATGGCTAAGACAGGAAAAAAATCGAAAAAAACTCCCATTATAACTAATAACTCATATAAAAAATTAATGCATTTTTTTAGATTTCGCACATTTTGCATTTGCACATGATTAGACGTCGAAATCCAACTGCCATAACAAGAATTACATTCTTTTGATAGTGTCGCCAATTACAGCCACTGCTGAAATAACGTTAACCTGGTAATTTATCACAGTTTGCATTCGATCACCAAAAGTTCTTAGATAAATTTGTTTATCGGTGTCGGTTCTCAAACAAAAATACTTCCTCTCCGGCGGTTATTCAACAAATAGTCTCCATAACTTTCCTGTTGGCAGACACAACTTCGGCCAACTCGAATCTGTCATTGTTATGCAACGAAACCCAAACAATACGTTGGGAATCATAAAAAGTTTCGAAGCCATTATTCAAAGTGAAAATTGAGATACCTACCTACTCGTACTCGACACGGAGATTCGAATCTTTCTACGATAAGCTTACCAGGCAATTTTCGCGACTCCAACCAGTATAAAAACTTTTCTAATTTGCCAACGAAATCGGGCCAGCCTACAAAATTATTGGACGGCGGAGTTAGTGTTTATGAAATAATATTCACCTCTCGGGCGTTGTTTGTTACTACATTAGAAAGCGTGTAAATGGAAACGGTGAACTTTTCAAAACTTTTCCGCTAGAAATTCACATGGATATTCGTACCAATTCGTAATTTTTACATTTGGTAATTATCCTTGTCATGCTCTGAGGATTGAAAAGGAGAGACTCCTGTTATGGACGGGCTGACCATCCGGCCACGTCATGGAAAGCAGGAGGTACGACCGTCCTGCTATTAGAGGCGAGCTCGCAAATGGCGAAGTCGCTGAAACGGCACTGGAGCCGGCGCCGCCGGACGGGAAGATGTCCGAGTAACCCAACAGTGACTCAGTCTCCACGGTACGCGTTTCGCCTTCGCTCTCCTCGGAAAGGGGAACAGGAGTCACGGGTGGCGGGGGATTACGTACCTGAAGGAGGTGGGTTAAGGGAATATAACTCCTCAGAACACTCGCCGTTAGACGATAGACTACCTTTTGGTGTTGTTATATTTCTGTCGGTGAGTATGACATTGGTATCTTGGTGTCACAAGCATCTATAGGCTATGGTGACCGCTTATACCAGGCGAACCATTTTTTATCATCAACCTATTAATGTCCCCACTGCTGGGGCACAGGCCTTGCCTATGAATGGAATAAGGAGACTGGGGCGTGATCCATTATGCGGGCAAGGCAGATTGGTAGGTGACGACTGCATTTGCGTGCCTTCTGAAGCAAGGAGGAGCTCGAGATAATTACTTTTGGGTCACCCATCCAATGATCGACCACTGCAAGGTTGCACAACTTTCACTCTCGCAGGCGGAATGCACTAACCACCTGCGCCATCGAATTGCTCGAGTGAGCCATTATGCTTCTTTGTAATCTTTTTTAACATAAAAACGGTTTAAGTAAATCTAAAGAAAATATAACTAGAAAAAATTCCACACGAAATTATAACTATAAAAACGGTTCTTTCGGAAACTCATATGGACTCCTAACTATATCCTACCTACTTTACTTTCAGTGTTAATTGCTGTTTAAGTGTCGCCGCACACGGGCCACACGCCACAGCCACAAACGCCACCACAAGAAGCTAGAAGCGGCTACTAAAGTGGCTGAAGCACGCGACAGCGGCCGACTAAGTTAAGGAGAGAGGGGAGGGGATCCCGCGAGTGACGTGTGGCGACGTTTTGTATCGGCGCATTAAGTGGCCGGTGCAGGCCACAAGAAGCGAGCAACGACGATATGTAGCGTGTGGCGGCCACCGGCGTACCGTGTGTGGGGAGTCCATATAAAATGTATAAAAACTACAAGAAATATGCCGGTGGCGGCGTTTTGTGGTTGTGGTCGGTGGCCCGTGTGCGGCGACACTAAAAAACATCTAATAAAAACTGTTGCTTTTACAAACCTGTAAATCATATAGGCGTGCATCCCAGTCAGGTAAACTCAAATGGGGCAAGGGTTTTTCAAAAGTTACAACTGATTGCATTTTTATCACAAAAACTGGTGTTCACAATGAAAAGAAATCAATAATCTTATAAAAATGTTGTTACGTCTAGAAAATTTAAACGCTTTTGTACAAATAGCCAAACGTCAAGACTCAATGATGTTATGTCAAACATTTACGTTGACAAATCAAATGACGTGACGTGCATTCGTAATTCCTGGCTGCATTAAAAAATAAAAAAACGACGGGTTGCACTCTGGGAGTGCCGGCAGAAGTGAAAACTTGAATATTAACGTTATGCATTTTTGATATTCTGTAATGGTTAGGGAATAATTTTGCACGAATTGCTTTAATTATCAGGAATACTTTATATACACGAATTTTACGAATACACAGCAATGTGGCCACTACACAGACGGTCGCGCCATCAGCTGTCACCATCCATGGATGCGCGTGGCACGCTATAATATAAACACTCACGAACATTCGCGCAAGCGCCCTGCGCTGCCTAAACGAAACAGCAGGCGCAGGCATACATTTTCGCCGCGCCGTAGAAAGAGAGGGGAATACTTCCTCTCCTACGCCGCGCCAGCTGTCTACTCTCCATCCGTCTTACGAATTTTCGATCAGGTCACGTGTCCTGGCGAGTTTAACATTTTTTACCCATAACAAAAAAAAAGTGTACAACGCTAAATAGTAAAAATCTTAATAGAAAAAGCTCACCAAAAGATTGCCTTTTGCTTTTATCTCATAAAGTGTGAAAACCTGCCGCCTCAAAAATGTATAAGAAACCTTATGCCACAATATCGTCCCAGTTTCGTATGTAGCATGAATTGGTTAAATTTTACTGTCCCGTAACTTCTTACTTTCTGTGAATAGGCCTCTGGCGTGCTACACAAATGATGTTACCATGATAACGAATGAACGAGGACAAAGTTTTTATATTGTAATATCTTTCATGATCAGCTTATATTTAAAAAAAATATAGTTGTGTCACTCCATGATCATAGTAATTTGCAAACAGTGCCGAAATATCGGGGACGAAACGAAACGAATAAACTCGAAAAGTAGTGGTCCGATTGCCTAAATGCTTGTACTATTAGTAAGCTACGTTATTCCTAAGTAATAATTGCTATTACGAGTACTTTAAAGGAATTACGGGGCGCAACATTATTTATATTAAAGTTATATTTAACAAGCAGGGCGGATCGCTAGTAGAACAAAATTTAAAAGATTTTGTTAACATCAGTAATGCTCTCTAGTAGAAAGCTAAAAGCTTATGTTTGATAAACGTGCAATCAAAAGAAAGTAATTCGAGCAAATAATTTTTAGATTTGCGTTATGGATGCGCATAAAGTCATTTTATTGGCTATTACAATAAAATAGGATAACACTTGACTTGACTCAATGAAGCGTTAAATCTGTGTACTAACTGAAGAGAGTCTCGCTAAGATTTCATACAGAAGCTGCAGCTGCCATAAAACACAGACATCATGGTATCCCTACACCGGAGCTTTCATGTCCTCTCTCCCTCGACACCGCCGCCGGCGATTCTCAAAGTTTACAAGTTCATACGCGGAATTCTTCAAACTAGCTATATCTTGTTTGCTTGCCTCCCTTGGGACAATGTCACGGCAACTTGACCTAAACTGAGCACCTTTACGAAAAGGTTTATAAAAGTGTGAAAGAAAACTCTTTTACTGAATGACCCTCTGAGTTTCTTATTGAGTTTGGTTAAAATAATTTAGCTTTATAATAAAATAATACTTTTGAATCTAAAGCAGCAAAAGTAGATGCATGTTTTAAACCGACTTCAGAAAGGAAGTGTCTTTCTTATTGTTGTTAAAGCTTAACTTCGAGATTGTTTGGTGAGATGGTCCCGTATAAATTTGGTGAAGATCCGATGAGTACCTTCGGAGAAAAATAACAGAATTTCTTAATGATAAATAACACACATATTGTAATTAGATAATTCAAGAGATCTCAATGTTAGCCAGCAGTCCTAGTCTGTAAGAACAAACAAACAAAGTCATTTTTACCGCGAGATCCGCGATGTGATTTGATTTTTTTTGAGATTTGTATTCTGATGAATAGCGAGTTTGTTCTTACAGAATAGCACCACAGGTTCGGGCTATATGTAAAAAACTGGTCATTTGAATTATGCATTAGTTTTAAACGATTTTTTTCCCTTCACGTATTTACTGATAAGGCAGGTATATTTTTTTTGCTGTTCCTGAATAATGTTTTATCTACGCTCATGTCGAATTATGCTAGGTACGAATTTAAAGATGGCTTAACACACACATATAAACGCATTATTTAAAATAAAACAATACACGTACACAGACTAAGCTTCTATAGAGCTGTCAAAAAAATCATTTTTAGGTAGGGTTGACACATGAGGATAGGTTAAAATAAATATACTTTTCAAACATATATTGATTAAGTAGTTATGCATCTAATAATAGATTTTTGTTCCTGGGTGAATAATGTAAGACTATTACTTAGTTTAAATATTTGTTTTTGATTTTTATTTTCATTCGAATTTAACATTTTGATAAGTATATTTGTAAGTATTTTTATTTATGACATTGAATGACATAGTGTTGTCTGTGAACGGGGGTGCGTTCGGAACGCTGGAGTGCGTTCGGTTGCTGGGCTGCGTTCCAAGTTTACAGTCCAGACTCAAAAATCGGCTCCTACTAAGTCAAATCTATTTACTCGCTTTCCTGCAATTTGTGGGAGTGATTTCGTGAAATGGGACGGAAGTGTGTAACAGGAAGTCGCGAAAGTGCGCGCTATTTGATTTGATTTTAGAACATAATGTTCAAATGTTTTATTTCTTTTTTTACTAATATACACTGTCTGTGTATGTATGTATGTGTATGTGTCTATGTATGCATATGTATGCGCAATATGCATATATATGCGTCTCTGTGGATATGCGTGCATGTATGTGTATATAGTTAATGTGTAATTGTTTGATGCGTGCTTAATATTTAATTTTATAATTGCTCCAAAAATGTAAATGTCTAATGTGTTTTGTTTTTATTTTATTTTTATTATTAAGTTTTCTTTTATAATTAACACGTCCTTGCACAGTCCCTGCCAGAATACCAGCGCTGATACAGTGAGAGAATATTTTCTCAATGTATCAGCATAAGCTGAGGCAGGGTCCTGATTGGCCGTCTTAGTTTTAGTGATTAATTTTTGTTCTTAGGTTAAGTTTCTTTCCTTTATTTTTGTCTGTTTCTATTCGTAGGTTTTAATATTGTATATAAGATGGCCAACAAATATTTTTCATTTCACTTAAATATAAATTCGTAATATAATATGTATAAGTTTTTTAAGTAATGTAATGAAAAACACTAATACACATATCAAATAAGTATACAGTCATGTAAGCATTTTAGTAAATCAATAATGACAGTATTTGTTTCCAGACCAAAATATTCGTAAATATTTTGTCAATCCAAATAAAACAAGCCCAAACACGACATGGTTGCGTTGTTTTATTAAGTAGTTATCGTAACTCCAGACTATATCATCAGATCAGATTATAAGTAATAAGTATTGCATTGGCATCTGATTTAAAAAGCTCAACTGAAAGCTGGAAAGTGAGTCAAATTTGCATTTGAGAACTTGCATGATTTGGTTATCGAGAGGCAGACGCATATACATATAAAATTTTATAGATTATTTTTTTACTATGGTAAAAGATTAGCGGTTCTTTATTTTTGGAATGAACCGTTTTATAAGATATATAGGCATTTTTTCACCATCAATAACATAACCTAAATGTTTCTTCCCATGTTGAAGTATGTAAAAAGTACCCTATCTATATATGCAGGTGTATTTACCACGGAGAAAAACATAGCAAAGTTACTTAGTGGATTCTAAATATTAATTCAAAAATACGTTCTTTATAAGCATATTTTTAAGCATAATGCCGTGAGTGTTCTGCGAGCCCTGCAATTGAGCACTGGCACTGACATGTGATTGCGTACGTGACAGGCAGCTAGTGCTCACTCATACACCTATTAATAGAGTACCTACTCTTTTAATAAGTTTACATTGACATTTATAACAAGTAAACAGAATTATTTTTATTAGTGAAAATTATTATTCCAACTAATCATAATTAATTTTTGCATTTCTAGATGTACCAATACATTCGCAAACAAAGAAAATAAATTCAATAGCGTAAAATTTTATTACTCTTCCAAGAATAGTACTCTCATCGATATGTGAAAGAGGCAGAAAATGGATAAACGCAATAAAGAAGCAAACGTAACTTCCACCTAGAAATACGATTTTTTATTGCCAACGAAGTGAGCACTTTAACTTCATTTGCAACAAAAAATCCTTTACATCCGTCATACGTTCCTACAATTTTTCCTAGTGAAGAAAGGTTATCACAGCCTCATTTTCTTTATTTATTATTTCTTCAACCTCCAATACATAGTCGGCCAAGATAACCTTTTGAAATATTTTGGCCACGCTGACGATCAGAATCAGTTATTATCTGCTTTCAATTAAGAGAGTATTGATGACAGGTCTGATAAGTTTCCTATAGGGTTCATTCAGACAGCGCACGGTGGAATATGGTAGAACAAACGCATATCAAAATTGATTTTTATTACTGATTGAAATTGGGTAATATATGAATATAATTTAATAGTTCAAAAGTCGAAGTTTAATATTCTGCAGCGTAATTCATATTTTATTTCGTAAAAGTATTTTTTTTCATGTAGCAAAGTTAAACGTTTAGGCAGCTGGGAAATATTAAGTTCTTCATTTACGTTTTTCAACGTGAAATAGTTTTAAAACTTGAAATGAAAGGTATAAAGGTATTATATATTTTTGAAAAGCACATTTATCAGAGGTTAGAAATAAATACAATTGATTATTTTTAATACGAATATAAATTTAAAAACCAATTTAAAGAAAAAATGGAGAAATATTTTTTTTTCCTCAACTTCGTCGAATCTTTTAACATTTAGAGTTGTTTACCGATGCTTTGAATTTAATGTTAAATTATAGGTTAGTTACTCATCTAAAACATATAAAAAAATTAGCTGCGGCTTTTTGCGGTTTTCGGAGATATGTGAAAAAATCGAATACTAGTCTGCGAACGGAAATCGCTATCAAATGCGGTTTCGTAGTTTACTTTTATCATCAATAGTTTGTGGTACATGTTATGAATTAATTATTTGATAT